GCGAAAAAATGATAAGATACAAACAAACAACCTTTGGAAAGGAAAGAGAATCTAGAAAATTTAGTTGTAAAAAAGTAAGCATTGATGACATCTCATTTAACAATGCTTTATATTGAATATCACACATAGAAAAACATCATCTTACATTTGCCTAAAGAGTGAAAAAAATTTTTAAAAGGTAGATTCTTAATCAACATTTATTGCTTCAAAAAACAACACAACAAGTTCAATAGTTCAAGTTTCGTTTAAAAATTTGAAACTATATTCTCTTCACCACACAAATGGAAAAACGAAAATTGCATTTCGCAACCCATCCTGTCTTTTTGTAAAATTTTATGAGTGCCATAACAGTCCACAGTGGATATAAAAGGGTGACTCCCAAAAGCAATATTTTTAATCTTTCCATTCAGGCCCATTTCCACTTCGAACCTCGCATCATTAAAATACATCTTTCAATTTCCACCGTTGTTTCTTACAATCACCAATTTCAGTATTTTAAATTACCGAAGTAATTGATCCTCAGTTTTCGTCTTCATATCTCCAATTATATTATAACTATGAAGATACATTTAATGTTGAAAATGGAATCGAGTTTGTCACAAATAACTCCACAACCTCGTTGCTATCGCTCACCAATATCAAATGACAGAAATGTCAACTTCTACGAAATTGAGAATTTTGGTAATATTTATTTGGCGAAGAAGTATATCAACTCCGTCAAGTGAAGCTTACGCAATCTTCCGCAAACTGAAGAATCGCCATCTGTTCTAGTTAAACTCAACATTTCAACTTGCTCGGCATACGTTAAGAATATCGCAAAATCTTATTCACACTTCTTGAAGAATATGGCTGATTTGCTAATCCAGCCAGATTTGAAATCCTCCAACAGCGACATACAGGACATCCAAAAGTGAAGTAGCGTTAACAAAAGTGGCCTGGCCAGCCGTAAATTCTTCGCAGTCCATCGTCAGCCAACATTGCATGAAATAGATTGCAAGAAATGGGTATTGCAGTCTTCTTTCCTCTACCTTTACATTAAGATTATACTTTTCGGTTTAACTGAGTAGATATAGTAGTCATATTATGCGAATATCAAACCAATCACTGCTGCTGCATATGATTCCATTAATTCCCGAATAATTCATCTCGAGATTTTACCATTTGTTGATTTCAAAAAAGTGGCGAAAAGAGATTTCGTAAGGCACAACGAAAATTTAATCGTTAAAATTAACGAATTTTCGCCGCTTTTTGCTTTGCACATCGTCCAAGAAAAGTTCTTTTGTGGATGGTTGTCGACGAAGTAACACTGCCATCAACCAACTCACTTTGTTTCTTATACGTATTAAAATGAAACTCGATTCAATCATGACGAAAATTTTCACATTTCAATAACTTTTTCATAAAAGAAGGCCCCTGACTGCAAGAACATTATTTCCAATAATCTGATTAACACAAATAGATTTGAAGAAAATCTTACAGTCATAAAAAGCAAAAAAAAGATAAGGGAATAAATTTTGCAACAAAGCCATAACAAGCGTTGTTGATGCAGCTGAAATAGAGTTATTTCAGCAAAACATTTTATAATTCAATTAACGATTTATAGACCCTGCACATACATATCACTCACTAAACAATCCTCTCCACAAGAAAGCCAATAGCTCGGTTTTTACTGGACCGTTTGCATCCAATGTATCGATGACTTTGAAAAAATTCTGGGAAAATTAATACCATAAAGGCTAAGTAAGTCTGTCGTACCTGAAACATCTAAGGCTGAAAGTTTCCGGAAATGTCTGGTAAAATGTTTTCAAAGCATTTCTGCTTTCGTTAGCAGTTATAAACTAAGTAGGATTGTCGAATTCCCAGGGATTTGTGCAAAACATATCGATTGTTTGCTTCTCTACTCATGCAAATTAGAGTTTAGCAGATGTTTTCATTTTCAAATGCTAACACTCTACGTCCACTAATTAAATAATCATTTAACTGCCAGAATGAAAAACTTGGCTAAACCCTTACCCAAACAGCAGTGCTCCACTATCGTGCTGCTATTCAAAACGTGATTTTCACAAGACAGCAGCAACTTCAGCCTGGGAAGATGTACCAAATTACTGCACGCATAGCTATTTGCTTCACTATATCCATGGGAAAACCCATTAGAATATTTTCAAACATTATCTTTTTCTCGTTTTGTCTTCCGTTATTTTCCTCTACCTCAATTCACACGAAATTGATTGCAGTACATACTTCCACGGTATGTGTGAGCTAAGAAATGATAAGATCGAATTCCTTTTTCGAAATAGTAAATTAACAATATTTATTCTTCCATAAAAAAATGATACAATAAATACGACAGTTGCAGAGCTGCTCTGCAGCCATCATTTAAAATCAAAAACGTGAACACTATGCTGTTATGCCTTACACTCCTTCACTTGGAAGAGTTTACGGAAACATATATTACATGCGAAGTATACATTGAATAAAAAGAGTAAAAATCCAGGAAAATTTCCGATAAATTTGAAAACCCATGGAGGTGAACTGTAGCTAATCTAAGGGCCACCCTAAAAAAATTTAAAAACTCGATCGGAGAATGTAGCTGACTGAATATTTAGTGAGGAAAAATATTCCTTAGTACAATGGAAATCCAGTAATTGTTTTCAAGTTTTAACATGATTTAATAAAGTAACAGTCCCACTGAACGTAAAGTTTATGACCGGAATACACCACAACGAGCTGCATAAATATCAAAATACCCAAAATATGCATGACAAAAGCAACATAAAATTTTGAACCTCATTCGTTTAAAATTCCTGACACAAATATCCCACCAATTGAGAAATCTTATGTGCAAAGACAATCTAGCAGTTATTGTCAAACAAACCAAAGAACCTAATGTAAAGTGCACCTGGAACATCGCTATGAACATTTTCATGGGTCCAGAAAAGGTATGTTAAGCATTTCGTACATAAAGCAAACGTTTCAAAAGAAAAAAAAACATGATACGGAGTCCCCTTCCAATTGACATAAAAAGTTTACACTCTCATAAATAATAAGCCAAAATATGATAATCATCACGGCATCGGTCTATCATTTACCAATCTCAAATGAACAAAATGAACAAATTCCATCACCTCAGCAAAATCAAAATTACCAAATCAATATCTCACCATGCATCCAGAAACGGATAAATGTAACGAGAAACATCACCATTTAAATCCTGTCAAAATATCAGAAAGAGTATGGAGAAATAAGGCCATAAAAAATGATTCGATGCAGTAGTTAATAAAATTTATGAACCAAAACTGAACGGAACAAATCTGCAGTGATGAACGATATGTAGCGGATTTTACAACTTTATGAAAACCTCGTTACTAATTTCCTGCAATATTTTTCTGCCATGTTTCTGACTAAATTATTAACAACCTGTTTATTATTGAACCCGAAAATTTCTGAAACATAAGATATGCGCTAGGTACATACCGCTTCATTTCGACATTGAATGAATGAGCTTACTGGTGGACTGGTGGAAAATCACAAAGACATTTATCACATATGAAGCCATGATTCGCATCAGATTCTCTAAAGGAGCACTTCATCTGATTATATATTACAAAGACAAAAATTTTAGACAAGTGAAGCTATAGGTATTACACTTCTAACCAATAGTTTTTTCCACAAACTACTTTTGTACCGTAATTTCTCAACAATGTAGTCATCTTCAAGACGAAAGAACAGAAGCAAGTAGTGATAATTTCATACGGCACTTTCAAACACATTAGCATTAGCATTAAATCAGTTCTATTCTATAGAAGAAACTAATGAATTAGCTTTTTAAGGCAATAAAGATTTGTAAGCAAATATTACAGGTACGCTAGACGCTAACTGAATGTGTAAAAATTATGCCTCTTTTCTTACTTGAAAACTTATGCCTAAACCAAAGAATAATAAGCAACATTTAAACGCTTCCTAGACATGAATTTACAGATTGAATAAGTGAAAAGGGCTGCAACTGCTAGCACAACAATGAACAGAAATCAAAGTTATAAAAGCTATAAATTCCCAGAATAAAACAATAGTTACCGGGGCACAAAACAGCTTTTCAAGAAAACTTTCTTACAAGGAACAATTCTTTGTCTGCAGTTGTCAATAATTGCTGTATTCACGCTCATTTTCATTTTAGTAAGTCTAACATGTCATCCGAAGACACTCGCTGCTGAGGTGCACTGGTGAAAACAGTCGAATTCGTGAATATATCTTGCTCTGGAATTCAATTTTAAAAACAAATGCCTTCTTTCCCTAAGAGGTTACAAATAATTTATGCATACAGCCTTTAGAAAAAAGCATCACCACTATTTTATACAAAAATTATCTATCCTGAAGACATACTTGTTGCAGGCATAGACATTAAAGAAGTCATTTGGTTCATCGGTACAGAATGCTTCTGTGGTTTCTTTTTCATACCCAAATCATCCAAATCAATATTAACTTTGTTTGATGCATCTGCCCACGTCGATGGAATTTTCTGAAATCACAATTTTGCTTCATGTATTTCCAAAAGATGTATTACAACATGACTTCACAATTAGCATTGGTTAAATGCTCAAAAAATAGAAAAATAACTGATTCCAGCTTCATAAATATGAACACTTTTATGAATAACTGATGAATTTATAAGACTGACCACAGTTGATTTCGAATCCTGTTCGACTTGCGAAGAAGGTACATTTACGCGTAACGGAATAAAGGAAACAGGGTGCGTAGGCACTGGCATCTGCAGATACAATATTTAAAATTAATAGTGTCATATCGAGTGTAAGAAAGAACAATTTACATTAATAATGTTCTAATATTACTGAGAAGGGTATCTCTTTTAGTATGCATAAAATAACAGAAGGTGAAAATATACAATCCATGAAAGTTTTGGCGAACATCAAGTCCGCCACACCCCCTCATCACTGTATCAAAACAAAGACACAAAGTAATATTCGGTGGATAATTACTAACTCCTGAATAAATCCACTGTCAGCAATTATTTTTATTTCGGGAAAGTTAAAGGAAGGACCAAACTTATGTTCGTCCATTTACAATTTTCGCAATGTCCTACAGTCGTTATTCTTCCACAATGGAGAATCCGATCAATTTCCTACTTTTTTACTATTCAGCTTCAAACAGTTCAAACAGCAACAATTTAACGTACTAATGGAGCAGCTGCAGTCAAAAGAACGGTGCTATGATGAGGTGATTGCATAGTAGCATCAGCAGAAGGCACATGTGTTGCAAACACGTCACCCCAATCTGAAAAAAGGGCAGCATTGCCACCCAATGGGGATGAAAATGTTGTCTGTGCAGGTGTTGCAACTGCGGGCAAAGTAAGATAATCAGCCAGTGCAACAGATGGTGCAGCAGAAGACACATATTGCTGGTTTGCATTTGGAAGGGCAGCATCTGATACAGATCTAGAATGGAAACATCAAATTAATGAAAAACACTGAAAAATTTAAACTTGCTGCAAAACACTTAAAGGACATATTTCAGTGCAATTTCTTCAAGCTATTTAATGACATAATTCCTTGCAGCTAAAACCTTTAAGCTACCTGCCAAGCTACTTGTCAAGACAGTTTTACACTGAGCACATAATCAAGGTACAATTTCGTTAAATTTTATTCTCGAAAATATATGGTAAACGATAAGCTAGACAAATGACTCGCACTATAATAATGATCGTCAAATATTTGTTAAAAAGATCCATTCGAGCAGAAGTAAATGAAATTAACATACTCAGGAGATAAACTGTCAAAACGCATTGGCGAAGTAGGTCGTTCAGTCCTAGCTAGCTGATTCATAATTTTCAGTGGTGAGGGAGGTTGCAAAATGGATGTCTTTGAAGTATCTTTGAAAAATGCAGCTGAAGGATTGTTCGAATCACCATTACCATTGAATTTATCTAATCCAAGCAGATCTAAAAAAAAGTTTAAAATAAATTGGAGTGAATTTCGGCATGGTCAAAAATGCAACTTCATACCAGTGTTATTTGCATTATCTCTCTTTACCTATTCCATCATATACTATTTTAATGTTAAACATAAAGATCCTTCAACGGCCATCAGACTCTTCCCATACATTACAGGCGTTTCTATCTTAGAAGTCAGCTCACGGAACAACAACAATAATTGCAGCGAATGAACCATTTGGAATATGTGCACAAGACAAAGTAACAAATACAGAAACAGTTAACAAGGACAGAAAGCTGTAAACAGAAAAAAGTACATTTCAATATACCCGAAGTGAGCGAAAATTACACGACAGTAGATTAAACTGACTGGATCGATTTTTCGACCATTCAAATTTTACCACAAGCATACTTTTCGACAGTTTCCTTAATCTTCCTCTTTGGCGACATCAATTTAATAGTTTACCGACCATAAGCCCCTCTCCACTACCACTTCATACAACAGGCTCAATGCATACATCGTGTTTCTTTGTGACGCATACCTATAAAGTGTTAGTCGATTCGTCCAACTAATGTTACCAATTCCACTCCAACAGATCCTTGCAATTCTATCGAACCTAATCATTTTCAAATTCGCTTTGCCTAACTGAGCCGATATATACCTAACAACTTCCTATCACATTCTTCATAATACGGTTATCCTTTATCAGTTATGAATTTATCTGAGCTATAAAAATTTCGACTGTACAAAATCAGTGTGACAAAAATCAATAAAAATATTCCTGCACATATTGGTCAAGCTGAGGTACCATGTGACGAAAACTGACAGATTTGTGATGGTTTCATCTGGATTATACAAATCCCTTGTTGTGGACCGATCGGATTTACGAAAGAGAGAGGCAGCTTTTAATATATGTAGTAATCTTTTGCTTTCCATGAAATCATTTTAATATATATAATAAAGTGGATTCATCGAAGGCAAAAGATTAATATTCGAAAATGAGCATATTATAACCAACTTATCGTTTGTTTAACCACTAAATATTATTCCAACTCAAGAACATGAACGCTGGAACTGAAGAGTTTTTGGACGATAGAACATGGATACTTCAAGGATGCACCTAGTGGAAGCAGAGTTTTCAGGGTAACAGCTTAGGTGCAAAATTGAAAGAGCCCTAAAGGACACATTCAATTCTGATTTCAATCACCCTTGCAATGTCGAACAGTCATAACTAGGAGAAGAAAAATGTAAGGATAGAAATGTAACAATACTGTTACAGATTTTGCATTACATTGACGTTTTTCGGAAATCAGTCCATAAATAAAATAAGGCAGTCCATAAACAGTTATTTTACTCGTATTTGAAATATGCTACGAACCGCTGACTCGTTTATTTTGTAGAGAAATGCCTTTACCGAGATGTTTTACTGTCGTACCCATTACACTCGAACCGGCAGGAGGAGGAGGTACAACAGCATGGATAGGAATATCGATGGTATGTCGCTGATAAGGCTTATGAATGGGCTGAGACTGTGTTGTTACTGACGACGGTGCAGAAACTTTTTGAAACTGAGATTGCAGATTGCGGGCGAGAGCAAAATCACCGAATTCTTCATCATCGATTTCTTGGCTAACCGGTTCCGGTGTGTGCTGCAAGTAAAGTCGCTGGTAAATGATACAAAACAAAAAAAAAAATGCATGCAAAAGCTAATAATCCGATCATTTTTATAAAGCAAAGGTAGCTGTAAAACCTATTTTCAACCAACCTCTCGTATACCGAGTTCTGGACTATCACCTCCACCGTGGCTGAGCTCTTCGTCTGGAAACTGGAATGAGTTTACTTCGCGATGCTGATAAGAATCTCTAAAATCAAGCAAAATGTTACTGATTTAGTGGCACATAGTAATATTCATCAACAAAGTAAGATACCGACAAAAAAACGCCTTCCATCTTCATCATATGAATTTGGCCTCTTCGAAAAATCACTACCATTCCTCCAGTCACCAGAATTTCCTGTACTATTACCACCTAAAAGAGGAGAAGATAACAGCGTTTTTAGTACGGTAATCAAATAAAATTTTATTCAGCCCTTCGCCTTTCAAAACTCAGCTTAAAAAGTTCAGACTCACTGGATTAAAATATTTTAACATTATTTTTCACAAGAAAATGTTGAAGAACTACTCAAGTGAGCTTTGAATATGTTATATCAACATCAAGAAAGTGAAAAATGTTAAAATGTTCACTCAACATTTTAACAAATCATTCAAATGCTGATGTTTTCAAGTGTACTGAATTTCGTCAATACACAAAAACTGTAGAATTTTTAATCGTAAATGATCTAAATTATGAGTTTCTGTGTTAAGTTCCTTATCGATCACTACAAGCATCTAATTCTAACCCTCTGTGACGTATCACGCCTCAGTGAATAATGAAGTAAATACTTCCGTTTACACTATGCAAAGGGCAACACTAACCCTAAGTGATGACAGAACTAATATGAAGTGCACAGCTAGTTCTTTTTAAAGCTGGTAAAAATATTCATATTTTGATTATGTGTACGCTTAAAAATCTGGAAAAGGTTTCGATGACTAACTGAAGGTAATTTGTCCACCCAAACGCATATCATCTTTTGAATACCCCTTGTATTTTTCCTTGCCCTCCAATTTTGCTTTCTTTCGTTCCGCCTTTAATTGTTCATCATCTTGAATTAATTCGAACAAAACGCTAACCCGATGCCGTACTGTAAACAAAAGCTGATTCACAAAAATCGCAATCCAGATTTTTTTTTCACATTAAAAAGCTCAGACTTTCAGTAAATTCAACTATTCGAACATAATATAGACCAACTAAATCAGTTATGCCAAAATATTTTGGAAAAATGTACATCAGTTTTCTTTCACAGTTTAGTCATGTAACAATTAAGTTTATTAAAATATATTTTTATATATATTCTGTAAGAAAATAAAAAGTGAATTTATAGTTTTTTCAAAATCATCAAAACGTCATTAGGAAAAAAAAATTAAAATAAATCACACCGTTAAGTCCCTGATCCTTTCCCTTTTCATCAATAAATTTATAAGACTCCAACGTACGCATCTCAAATAAGTGATCACGCGCATTGCTCACTACCCGCTCACTGCCATTTTTCAGTAGATAGTGCAGTAACGTTAAGGACTGAAAGAAGATATCATAGAAATTGCAGAAAAACGTCACAAACCATTGCAGAAAGCAATAAAACGCCAAAAATAATAAATACAGTCTTTACTTTTGGCATTTTATTGCTTTGTGCGAACGGAACCACGTTTTGTTCTACATCGAGTCCTAGCTGTAAGAACAAAGTTATTAGATTCTAGAGCAATTTCTATATAGATCCAAGTATATCATAAAATTTTCTTGCCTTATATACTCGTCTCCATGCATTCTTATTGTCCTGTAGCATGCGCTTCCAGAGCATGTTCATCACTTCGGGAAATGCATCATACTGATATGTCATATGCGCGATTTCCGCCATTTGAGGCCCTGTTGGTCCCCATGGGTCCTCATTTGTTGCTTCTCGGACCTTACTTTCTGCTTCCGTATAGTTCATCACCATCCCCTGCCTGAAAAAATTAAAGAGCAAGTAACTCACCAACATGCTCCTGAAACCAAATCCCAGGACAACTTCTGTCTCTTTTATAAACTTGACGGTTGTTATCCAAATAATTCGGCCATATCACATAAAATTTAACCCAAATCACTGAACGATAGGTTTCATGTCAAGAAAAAGTGATGCCATTCATTGACAGTAGCTATGTATAAGCTTCCAGCTTAGTAAGAAAAAAAAAAAAAAACTAAAATAGTAAGACATTTACGTAAATAAATAGGTAACTAG